GCGGCAAGAGATAACGTATCAAGATATTCTTGTAAATGTGGTTATAAATATTTAATTGGCGAATGTGGTAAAGCAATGGCTACAAGTAAATGTCCCGAATGTAAAAGAGTAATTGGAGGAAGTAATTTTGTTTCAGCTACTGGTAATACAAGAATTGACACAGCAAATCGAAACGCATTTGAACCAAATGATCAGAAAGGTTATATTTCTGAACGTATTGACAAGGATATTAGTTACACTACAAGAAAAATGCCTCCGGTTGCATATAGAATACTTCATTTAATTGTTCATACTATTATTGGTTCTCAAGCTCCTTCTCAAGCTGTTACCGCATTAATTCAACAACATAATAAGAATTATACTAATGCAGTAGATTATTGTATGGAACATATCAAAAATGATTGGGAAGTTTTAAAGAGAATTCTTAATTGTTCTGATGAAAATTTAGCTTTAACATTTCACTCAATTATAATGGCCCTTACTAATAATCCGCCAACTTATAATTCAAAACTTGATACTCCTGATGACAGAGATCAATGGGAAACAAATTTTACTCAGATATACGTACTTCCATTTACTCGTAATATAAATGAATCATCTGCTCAATTTCGTGCTCAAATAGAACAAAATATGAAAAAAGATGATGTTAAAAAATCTTTATTAGAGGAACAGATCAATCAAACTAATTCAATGGATGAAAAATATTGTAATGAAAATTTACCTTCTTTATGGAGAATAATTTGTAAAATTGATTTTAATAGTTTTAGAGCTTATTATATTTCTGAACCAAAAAATATTAGAAAATATCCTTTCCTCAACATTTTCTTTAAATATTTCGAAGATTTACCCTTAATTAAATATCTTTACCCTATGGTTAAATTCATTCAAATGTTAAATAATAAATTAGGTTATAAATTATTAAGAGAAGATGCTAAAAAAACAACCTTTAGAATGTTTATCGAAAGTGAAGGTGATAAAGAGGCTTACGATGCACTTGGTAAATCTTTTAACGAATTTCAAGTAGCTTATAATTTTATGATTAACAAAGTTAAAAGATATCAATGTCATGATTTACCTAGAATTAAACCACAAATTACTGACAAATTTAGTATTATATATGGATTAATAGAAGGGAAAGATGAAGGAATTTATCTTTGTGCTATACTAGAATATTTAATTAATATTCAAAATACTTTCTTGGGAAAAATAATGTCAATACCACCTGAATCCTGTGATTCTCTTGGATTCTTACAATCTCCTTCTTGGGACGATACCACTTCTACAATTGATGATACTCCTTACTTTATTAGAACTATGAGGGTTGATCATGCAATTGAAGATAATTTTATTATTTATGAATGGAATGATGAAATTCTTCAATATTCTCAAAGAAATTTAGGTATAGGAAAAGGCCAAGATATTATTTATGATTTACAACGTATTGAAAGTGAATTGGCCAATATTTTAGTTCAAAATAAAGTTCATTTTGAAGTTGGTAATGAACAATTAGTATTAGAACCTTTCCCTTATCATTTAGAATTATTCTCATCTTCTATGCGTATACTTGGTGATATTAAATCGGTAATTCCTCAAGAGCCAATTCCTTCTGATAAATTATCACTTATAATCGGTCAAAACGCTATTACCTCTTATATGTCACTTTCAACATTTTCTTCAACCTTAGCTTCAAAGAATAATAATTCTTCTGAATTACTTTCTTTATTAGAAATTTTACTTTGTTTCATAAAAAGAACATCAGTTGGTAATGGAGAATTAAGTTTAATTGAATTTATAAATCAATGGGTTCAATTATCTTCATTAACAGAAGATTCAAGATTCGAAACTATTTTATCTTTTAATCTTCAATTAAAACATATTGTATCACTTTATGAAATTATTGAAGAACAAGTAGCCGATATTATGATTCAATTCGTTGATAAGAAATATAAAAAACCTTTAAATGAAGAAATGGAAGAAGAGATTGATAATGCTATTGATTATGAAAATAGAAATAAAGAAAAAATTCCTGTAGATTCATTCATAATTGCCATGAAAAGATTTATTCAAAGAGTATTACAAATTGAAAATTATGAAAATTATAAAGAATATCATAAACTCTATGATTATTTTACTGATATGTCTCTTAATCTTTGGAATAATAATGTAATAAAAGAAATTTTAGATGCTAAATTTCCTAATACTCTTTTGGTAACCAATTCTTTTACTGCTTATGAATACGTTACGCAGAAAAAAGAGGTATGTATTATATACATGAATTTTTTTTTTCACAATACTATAGTGATTTTAACCCTTTTTTTAAAAAAAAAAATTTAGACATTCAAATCTAAACAATTATACTCGAGTGAAATGAATACCAATTCAATTTCAATAGATACACAAATGATCGCACCTTCAGATGCTACATTCTTAAGTCTAACTAGTCCAACTCAACCTACTAGAACGAGAAATAAAGGAAAGAAAGTTATCGGTAAATTTGATGTTATGTAATTTTTATTATTATAACAGATTTTATTTAAATTTTATTTAAATTTTAGTTCTTTTTTTTTTCGTAAATTGTAGTTATTATTATTTTTATATATATAATATAGAAAAAATGTATTTGTAACAGCCTGTTACATATCTTATTTGTAACATCCTTTTTTTAATATGTGTTTCACAAATAAAATTTTTATATGCAAAATTTAATTTGGAAAACTTTTTTAAGACAGTTTCATAGACAAAATTTTAAGTTATAAGCAGTTTCTTGAAATTTTTTAAAAAATTCTTTTGTCTTAGTTACACGACTGATCTTTTGTTTTTGTTTACATTACGCCTGATCTTAAATTTTAATTGGATAAAATTGGGAGTTGTTACAAATAAGACGCGTAACAGGGTGTTACAATTAGATTTATCCTATAATATATATATATTTAACAATAAAAATGTTGAAATGAATGTGAATTATAAAGATATTCTTAATAATAAAATTTATTCTAGTGTAAAAGTTATGGCAATCTTTATTATAATGATTCTAAAATTATATATATTTTTTTTTGATATTTTTATCGCTAAATTCTCTTATATGGTACATTCAACAATCTAATCGGATTTTATCCGTTGGGTATAATCCGTCAGATTGAACGGATAAATGATAAAGGATCATCATGCTGTCAATTTTTTTTTTTTTTTTAACGGTCATTTTATTACTTTATTAGGAAATTAAGAAAAATTACAAAAAAAATCGAGTTTAGATGATCACTTACATTTGCGTTTTTTTATTATTTTTTTTTTTTAACGTTTAACTTTATTAATAACATGATGATCGTTGAAACAGCGCATCATGTTCTAGACGACGTGCATCTGCTAATAAAGTATCTATCTACTAAAAACACAAACAAAATAAAAACATACAACAAGAAACACTAAACTAAACTCAATAAAACAAAAGAACATGTAAAATTTAACACTAGCTATTTTTACGCCTGGTTTGACAAATTTTTAACCAAGAGTTTGCGCCAATGTTAAACTTCATCGAACTCCCCACACATAGATACTTTATTAATAACAACCCTCCTTCCTTACGCATTTCACACTTCTCAAAGGAAAAACAAAATGACAAAAACTACTCTGATTCAAAACCAAACTAAAACGTCTTCCTAACACCCTATCTAATCTGACCTACTCTTTCAAAACATACAAGCAGTCACCGCAGAGTTGGCTAGGCCCCGCAATGAAACGTCCATCTTCCCAAAAAGAGCATTTTCCCCTGTAGAGTTGGCTAGGCCCCGCAGTGGAGCGTCCTTCTTCCCGAAAAGCGCGTTCTCCATAGTTACCTTTTACCTTTCCATTCTCCATAGTTCCCTTTTCCATTCACATGACTTGCCTAACGTTAGCTTTTTGTATTTCTTTGAACAAAACAAGTGTTTGTCTACATTTATTTACATTGCTACCATCCAAGTCAAAACTAGAATTGTCATCTCTTCTCTCACGTGATTACTGCGGATATGGCTGATCTCTTCCTTGGCTAAATTTGTTGCCGCAATTTGTCCCCCAGTAAATCACCTCATTTCCTTGCAATCCAATTGGTTCCTCACTGAATCTTCCGTTACTACTTTATATCCATCCACGTGCTAAAATTTTTGCTGCGCCGACGAAAAATTTTGCGATGAAAAATTCCCAAGAAACCAATATTTCCAAGAGCTATCCAAAAACTTCTTCAATATCCAAAGGCCTACTTCTTTTTATTTTTCCAAGCCTCTATTATCGCCCACTGGCAAAAATTTATTTGGAGCAACACCCAGCCCTCCTTGGCATTTTTGGGTCACTACCATTAAGTTGAAAGTGAGAAATAAATTTTTGGTTGAAAAAATTTGAGTCCTTCTAGCAAACTTCGTCTAAACTCCATATCAAAATGCTCGGAAAAGACTGAATAAACAGTTGGTGATGTTAAAATGCGTAAATTAATAAATTTCCATAAGCACTTTTGAACTCTTCCGCCATTTTTTCGTCCTGAAATTTTTGGTCCGAATGATCGGCGGGAAGAGTTCCTCATTTTCTCCCCCACAACACCTTTTACTGCTACATAACTACAAAAAATAATAAAAAAAATACTAAAACTACGTAATCAATAATATTATAGTAATCTGTGTTACCTAAAATAAATATGATTTTGAAGACTTTGTAAATTGAAATATCAATAACTGTTCTTTACCAAAATGTTTTTTAACATTATTATCTATTTCCAACCCTCTATCAAATTTCATTAAGTTTATTACACCTCACTTTCCAAAAAATCATAGATTTATCTAAGATTTCATTCCTTAAATTATATGATAAAATTTCAACCTTTAATTTCGTAGATAATAATTGTTTAAAAAAAATTAATTAATAAGCAAGGAAAAAAACCTTTAACCAAATCTATGAAAGTTATATGATCCTCAGATATTTCAAGCTTCCAAAATCCAAATATTGTCAATATTTTTAATATGATCGAGAGTAATATGATTGACAGGATCTAAAATTTTACTAATTTCTTGAAAAAAGCCACGCTTGTATACCAGAAACTAAATCTTCCATATTACCTCGCCTTTCCTCACAAATCCAAATATGATTGAAATCCTCTTCTTTTTTCTTGCACATAGGACAAAGCCTTTCTTTATATAATGAAAATAAAGTTCGTTTAATTTGTTCAATACAAGGAAGTTCTTCAATCATCAGTTGAATTTTATTTGTGTCTTCTAATTTTCGATTCTTTGAAATCTGTATGTAGTTTTTGTTTTTCTCCCAAAAAATTATTAAAAAAAACTGACCAGTCTATTTCACATTTTCTATACTTGTCATTTCTATTTAGGTTTAAAAACCTTTTCAAATTTTAAATTAATATTTAAATTTTGATCATTATGTTGCTATAGTAACTATATTATCAACATAATTATTTAAAACATCATCTGTATGAGCTTTAACTTCAGTATATTGCAGATAAATGATTTTCCTTGATGATATTCATAATTATTTTCCAAAGAATGTTATTATTACTAATTTTAAAAATTTGCCTAGTAACTAAAATACATGTGGCTGAAACTCAATAATTTTGGCCTAATTTTAGTATTCGGCTTTTGACCAATCATTCCGAAATGAAACTCCAAGATCAGGTCAAAATCCAAAATTAGGTCGAAATACGAAAATCTGGACGAAACCTTTTTAGTATAAGGGTTCACATAAATTTTTTCTTAAAAATATTTAATGGTTTTATTATTGTTTTTGCTTAAGGGTACGATTAATGCTCCTTTTATTTTTATTGTTTTTTTTTCTTGGGCGTAATTAACATTGATTTTTTCTTTTAGTGATGGCCATAAAAAATGTTTCAGAAAAAATGATCACGTGTCTGAGTTTCTTTGGAATAAAAACTAGAAAAATGTTATAGGGTGGCTTCTTGGAGTTTCTTAAGAACTAAATGGTAAATTACTTATCTGTCTTTAAACTTCTTGTTTAAGAACGCAATTAATGCTCCTTCTTTAGACATGGTTTTGGGTTTCTGATGACTAAGTTAAGCTTTTTTTTCTTTTCATTGTCTTTTTAGGGGATGCAATTAACGTTCCTCTATTTTTATTTTTTGGATTTTAATGTGGACTTATGGTAAGTTTTTCCTTTTTCATTTCCTTGTCATTTAGAAATGTAATTATATATATATTTCATTTTATTTTTAAACTGTTATACTACTATGTCTTGTTTTTTTTATTTATTTTTTTTTTATTGTACCAAAATTGTGTTTTAATAAAATTATTTGATTTGTTGCTGTTGTTGCTGTGAAAAGATTTAAAAATTTTTAAATTCGTAAGATATTAACAAATACTTTTTAGATGAGGTAATTATTATGTGATCATTTTACATTTTAACTTAATAAATTAAATTTATTTTTATTAGAATCAACCATACTCCCCTTGTATTATGAAAAACTCGATTATCATTTGCAATCATTTTTCTTCTTGTTAAAGCTTTTTGTTGTCTAATTGATTCCGCTTGAATTAGTTGAGCTTCTCTTCTTATATTATATTCTCTTATAAACTGAATTAGTTCATCATCATCATTTTGAATCACAAATTGAATTGCCTTTTTGGCTTCACCCATTAAAGTACCAAATTTCAGTTGTTTTACGATATTCAGTTTGTCTGGAATAGCTCTCTAAAAAATCATTTACAGTATATTTAGTAATTTGTATATCATTTTGGCAACTATTCATCATTATTTCACTAGAAGAGATATCACTTAAAGTGATATATCCATCTTTATACTAACACTTAGGAATCAACATCAAATGAAAATATGCTTTAGGAGTTTCAACAATCACTTAAAAAATGTCTGCATATAATACCATGCATAACAAGCATGAAACAATGCATAAATATTCTCCAGTATTAAGCAAAATTACATGTTGATAACACTTCAGATAATTATACCGAGACCTAACAAATTTCTAAAATATCACCTGAGTTAACCATTGAAATTAAGGATTTTAAGTCAAATTCCTGATCCTCATCAGCTTCAACCCTATAAAAAGAGAAAATCTGGAAAATGTACTGAAAAAATGGAAAACATCCAGGTACGCTTTTGAGTTATTTCAAAATTTGGTACATTTTCCATACATGTCTGGATGTTTTCCATTTTTTCAGTATATTTTCCAGATTTTCTTTTTTTATAGGGCAATAGGGGTTTCAATAGAATCATCTACTTCCTTATCAAAAAAAGGTTCAAATAAATCATCATCTGATGTTGAATTTCAGAAAATGGTACTTGGTGTGTATGATAGCATACAGAATTACAGATTGCATATCTGCTTATAATGTGCATCATGAATTGGTTGAGTGAGATATTTTTTATGGTAATATCAATGTCTAAAAAATGTTTAAATAATAAAATGTATGTAATACTGTAATGTTGAAGATTTTCAAATTGAATAACAATTATTAATTGGCTCAAATTCTAACCAATTTTCAATTGATTCTTGAACTTGTGAAAGAAAAAAGCTTGACTGTCAGTATAGCCTTCTGTATCAATGTATTTTCTGATTTTACATGTTGTGTAGATTGTATTCCCATCATGAAGTGTCTTGATGTAAAACACTTTACCATGTATATTTTCTATTTAGTAGCATTGTAGTTATATATTTTTTCCCTGCTTTATATTTTTCAACTATACCTGCAGACTGGCATTTGAATACACTTTCCCATCCGTTTTTGCTGGAATTACAGATTTGTCTAAAATTGAATTAATTCCGGCCGGCGTTATGAATTCGGCTGAAATTATAGATCAATTTTTAAATCTGAATTATGATCTGTCAGATCCGATCTGATCAGATTAAGATTTTGAGTAAATCTAATCTGAATCAAATCTTATATGATCAGATTTGATTTGAAGTTAATCTGATCTGTCAAAATCAATATTTTTTTGATCTGAATCTGAATACAGATCAAATATATCTAATCTGATCAGATCAGATTTTTTTAGAGCATTAAAAAAATCAAAATATTTGCCAAAATTTTGTAGCTATAATCTGTAATTCCAGCCAAATCCAAAATTCTGAAATTCAACGTTAATTCCGGCCAGTTCAAACGTTAATATCATACACCCTCAAATTAAATATGTAATTCGGCCAGAATTATGCTTAACTCCGGCAGGAATTATTGAATTTCCTAAAAGGAAATTAATATTACACAAATGCCAACTACAAAAATCGATTTTGTGGAACGGCTATCACCAAAAAGGAAATGATTAACCATCCGTTTTGGCTGGAATTACGGATTTGTCTAAAATTATGAATTAATTCTGGCCGATGTTATGAATATTCGGCTGAAATATAGATCAATTTTTAAATCTGAATTTTGCATCAGATCTGTCAGATCCGATCTGATCAGATTAAGATTTTGAGTTAGTCTATTCTGAATCTGATCTGATTTGATCTGAAGCTAATCTGATCTGTTCAAATCAATTTTTTTTTTTGATTTGAATCTGAATACAGATCAAATACATCTAATCTGATCTGAATCTGACAGATCAAGATTCAGATCAAATCTGATCAGATCAGATTTTTTTCGGGGCACTAACTTTCAGAACTCTCATGTATTGGGAGCAAACCAACAGGATCAATGTAAAACTCACAACTGTTTATTAAAGCATGCTTTACAATAGCATAATTTATTACCACTTTTCATATCTGTTGAAAATATGTACTGTATTTTTTAAAGTTTGCACCATTTTGAAGAGATGAAAAAAACGAATTTGTACTAAATTTGATTCATGCAGTGTACTACCACTTTAGAAGTGTACTACATGACTTGTACTAATTACAGTGTGTACTACAAAATTTTGCTAGTATACGTGTACAACCACAACTCTGTTAAATAGGGACTGATGCTAACCCACTTGCTAACCCCAAGAATTGGCTTTGCTTTCGATTTTGACTTTCCATATAATAAATTTAAGCATATAAATTTTTTCTTCATTATCTGACCAAAAGTTTTTTGTAAGTCATTACTCCTTTATACAATAATAAAACTAAATAATCTATATAAGCTAGATAATAAAATTAGAATATATAACTTACCTATTATAACTAATTTTTAATTCTTTACTTAGGCTAATCAAGGCTGCTTCTAAAACTTTTCTACTAGCTCTCACCTTTGCTCATAAGCAATCTTTAGTAATAAGTCATATATTTCAGGAACCAATTTAGTAGCTATTTGCATAGTACGTAGGCTTTTTGGGCAAGCAGGTGACAAGAAGAAAAATTGGGACGATTGACTCTTTTTTGCTTCTGACGATTTTCAAAAACTTTTTCAGATTTCTCTTTTGAGGTAATTGGTTTAATTTTCAAATTCTCGCTAGTTTGAAGGAGTTTTGGTTTTTCATTTTATTTAATTGAAAAAATTTTTTCATAATGTTTAGGTGAAAATTATTATATGGATACTGTTATAACTATTGAAGAATTAACTAAACATGTCGAAGCAATTACTGGATTTCTTAAAATGAGGGAAGCTGTTATTTCTGACTTAGAAGGATGTCGTGATCGGCTTGTTGAATTCCATTTCAAAGATGATAAAAATGTTAGCATTGGTTCCAATATTCTTATAGCTGCCGGAACCAGTGATGTTAAATGACATTGTCATTTGACCAAATTTCAAATGACCTTAAATGACATTGAAATGATATAAGAAATTATGTCATTTAAAAAAAATGTCATTTGCAAATGACAAATGACAAAATGACATATGTCATTTCTAAGTGACAATATCATTTATGATTGTCATTATGATGATTAATCTATTTAGTGGCACATTTCATAATAACTTGTTGATCGAAACTCCAAAAAGCATAACTTAAAATTGATGATATCCAAAAATGGAATGACAAGTGTGTGATATTTATTTAATCTGGAAATTTAACAATTTATTATTATTTGTTTGTTAAATCTAAGATTTATCGATCTTTTTTGTGATTCTCGCGTTTCGTCATTATTTTTCATAACAAATTTCTTATTTCAATATATACGAGTTTGTATAAAATTAAAATGAAAGAAAAGCATAATTTTCGTGAATTTTTTTATTTATGTACACCAGATAATCCTAAAGCAAATAAAAAAGCAGTGTGTTTTTCTTGTATAAGAAAACATACTTTACCTATTGCTATTTCTAAACCTGAATGTTTCGTATCTAATAAAGCATTATTATGCCGT